CTGAGGAGATCGCTCGGCTTAGCGATGAGCTGCAGAAAGAGCAGTCGGAGCGGGCCGCCGTTGCCGCTGCCTGGGCAGCTCAGGCGCCAGAAGAGTTCGCTGCCGAGGCCTTGCCAGACCGGGAGACAGCCATCCGCTTCTTCCAGGGTTTATACAAGCATCCGGTATCGGCCGGCCTGGTGGACGAGATTGGGACCTATGGGTTCGAAAGCGGCCAGTACTCAGAGCGGAAGGCCCTCTATGGCATCCTTGCGCAAAGGGTTCAAAGCTTCCAGCCCAAGGTCCTTTCTCTGCCCGAGCTCCATGACGAGGCGCCGGTCCCTCCATTTCCAGGGATCTGAAATCCCCGGCCTTCTTCTCTCTCTTCTTTTTTTATTTTATTTTCTGATGTAATGATATGCCTCCGGGCACTTTTGTAAAACATTGAAGTATCAATGAAAATCTTTTCTATATTATGTGCTGAGCACTTTTCCCATATCTCATAAATTGTTCAACCGTTTAGATTAGTAAATAACAGCCCGGCTGTATTTACCCGATTAGTATGACCCTTGACGGCGTATTGACTTGTCCTTTTCGAAAGGTTAATCATGTGCCCGGGCTCTCGTAAGGCCGACCTGTTTTCACAATGGCTTAACGCCCTTGTGGAAAGGTAAACCTTAAGTTTTTCTTCCAAACATCTGGCTTAAACTGGCCGGGATGCTCTCCCATTAGTTAAGCCAAATAGTTTTTAACTCCCGTGTCAGTACGGATGAGGTATAGAATTGGTCAGACCGGTCTCTTTTTTTTTTAGATGTCCAATTCGATTGGACATCTAACCGGGTAGATTGTCACGTGACGAATCACCGTTTGATGCATGCGAACAATCTTTCTGAAAAGAATAAAGTTTTATTAATGACCGGGAACTCATTACACTTTATCTAAAGAATTTACGCAAGTGGTGAGAGTTCCAGTGTCGCTCAACCCGGCCACCTTCCATTGTTTCCAACTGGTAAGTGTCCGGTCTCACGATTGCTTTTACGCGATAGGGCCCCTCCCAGTTTCGTACCAGCTTACCCCTTTCATTAGGCTTACTAGCATCCCTTCTGCGCAAGACTTCATCATGCACTTGGAAGTATCGCGGCCCTACCCGGTTGTCATGATACCGCTTTACTGACTGCTGGTAACCGGCCATCTTGACTGCAGCTATGGTCCTTCGTTCTTCTACCAGATTCAATTCAGCCAGGTGGTCGATCTCGTTAAGACCGGGCTGGTAGACGGTTTCTCTGAATGTCGGAATTTCTGCCTTTACTGGTAACCGGGCTTCACATCCGTAAGTTAACACGAAAGGGGTCTCTCCAGTTGCTCTTCTTGAAGTCACTCTATGAGCCCAGACCGTGTGAGGCAAAGCTTCCAACCACTTGTTTCCTTCCTCACCCAGCCTCTTTTTTAGACCGTCCACAATTGTTCGGTTAGCGTTTTCGACTTGGCCATTTCCCTGTGGGTATGCTACCGAGGCCTTGCTGTGCTTGATCCCGAAGCTAGCAAGGTATGCAGTGAACCGGGGATTGCGAAACTGGGGTCCGTTGTCGGTGACAATGAATTTAGGGGCACCAAACCGGGTGATAATGTTTTTCCAAACAAATTTCTCGCACTGCCGTACGGTTATGGTGGCCATCGCCTCAGCCTCAATCCATTTGGTGAAGTAATCAATAGCCACCATCACGAACTTCTTCCC